CTGGCCCTTTTATGGTAGGAACATTTCCTTTGGGTTAAAGAGAGTGCAACACACAAAAGGTGACATGGGGCTGCAGTGATTTATGGTCATGGCTAAAGGTGGGTGTTGTATCAAAGAACATATTTATTGCTATACAGGATTTATATAGTGCCAACAGTTTGTGCAGCGCTTTATGATATAAAGAAGACATTACAGTTACAATACAAATCAAGACAAGATAGTAAGGAGTGCCCTGCTTGTGAGAGCTTGCAATCTAAAAGGGAACGGCCAGTGATACAAGAGGTGGTAGCTGTGTGGGGATGAATTGTTTGAGAAAATTATAGTTCGCTATTAGGTTGCGGCAGCATAGGCTTCCCTGAAGAGATGAGACAGGGATTGCCTAAAGGCAGACTGAGTAGGAGACAGATAAACAGGTTGGGGTAGGGAGTTCCAAAGGATTGGATAGATTCTAAAGAAGTCATTGAGGCGAGCATGGGAGGAGTTGATGAGGGCGGTCTTGGGTGGTGCGGAAGAGGATGGTTATGTGATACTATATAATAAATAAATAAACAAATACATAAACACATATACAGTGTGATACCATTTATTCCCTCTCTTAGCATTGCTTCTACACAGTAGACTTTTGTGTCAAATATCTCCAGAATACCTCTTATAAGTGAACTCGGGCCAGAATTTTATTTTTAGACTTTGATAGTAGGAGTAGTGTTGACACCTCTGAGTTGGTGTAATTCTTCATTCAGTGAAAAGTGGAAAGTCATTATTTAAGCCTCATGGCCTGAGTTCAGCAGCACTCACAGAACAAGAGGGGTCTTCAGAGGAAGGGCACCAAAACCAATATTGCTGCCACAAAAAAGCAACAGACAGATAATGAATTCCGGGGGCAAAAAATACCCCTTCATCGGGGCTTAAACAATGTGTCAAAACATTTAATAGATTCTAAATACATACAAAGAAAGGTCCCAAACTAAGGGATGCACCAATACCGATATTTTTTTCCGGTACTCGCTGATACCAAGTACTGATACCGCTGCTGTGTGCCCCAATTATCAGGAAGTGGGGTGGCAGATCATGACCCGTCGCCGGCTTCTTGATTGGCCGGGGAAGCCGGTGTTCTATCAAAACAACACCGGCTTCACTTGCCGAGGCTGCCTGACTTTCTGACCAATTGGGAAGCCGGCAGTGGGTCTTGAGGTGCTGTCCAGCTTCCTGATTGGTCAGGAAGCCAGGCTGCCTAGGAACAAGTGAAGCCGATAGCAAGATTTCAATTTTTTATATTATGGAGGGTGGTTGGCCTATAAACTGTGCCCCTAGATAACATCCTTAAACAATTTCAACAATTTCAAAGCCTGTGCTGCAGGCTTTCCCAAGGTCAACTTTATTAGTCCAGAGTAGTAGGTGACCTGTAAAACTTCACAGGTACTTATAGTACCCCAGTAACATTTTTTCAAGTATTTTATAACTAATTTTTTATGTTTGTATTTGGCTACAAAGTGCAGTTTGCAGGTGTTAAAAACAGAGCAGATAAATGTAGGTGCTAATATATGGTGTTCATGACTAAGTTTATCTAGGTCCATGAAGACTCACACATATAGCCACAAATGTATTAATTGTGAATAGTCTTTAGCCTGCACTGTGTATTAGAACAAAGCATGGTGTAATGATAAAAATACACTTGTGATTTGAGTAAAAGACCAGAGGATGACGTAAATAATAAATACACATGATAATGAAGCCCAACTCCTTTCTCTTATTAGTATTTGATACCCAGATCCTTGCCCTAATCATAACATGGCCACAGGGTGGTCATTACAGGTGGTGGGAGAATTCATAGCCTTCAGCTGCTTAGAAAACAGCCTTAGAGATTTTGACTATTTTTAATGTGCAGTACCTTTTTAACAGCAGTAGTTGTCATACACAGTCCTACTTATTAATGCTTCTTGCTCATACTGCCATTGTGAACATTTCTTAACAGTCCAACATTTTTTTCTGAATTTTACTTTGTTATATTTTAGTCTTTATTATATAACTATTTAGTTTGATACCAGGCATTTACTGATGGTACAAAATGACAATTCATGTAGCTAAATGCATTGATAATTTATCTTTATCCTTGAAGAACACATCATTGATTTAAAGAGAGTTGTATTACAGATACAGAATGAGATATAGACTAAATACATACAGCAACAGAAAGAGGTCAGGACAGGCAATGGACATTATAAAGCCATCAGTGAACACAATAAAGATAAAAAATATGGAACTTACAGAGCTGAGAGAAATGTGTTCATGTAGGACCTGTTTTACTAAGCATGACAAGCCTAATTAGAGCACTTGCTGACAGGTAAGTGTTGCTAGGTAATAATGACAAGCGTGGGCACAGCTTAAAATGCATGGCAATGCAGGTAATACATTGCATGTTAGATAAGGTTTTTTTTTTTGCATACTGGCACTATTAATATACATACACCTAAATAATATATCTAAATAATACATTTGAACAAAACAGACCATAAATGCTCAGCTATCATTCTTACAGAGGCTGAAAAACAGTCAATCCATAGCATACAGCATAGACGATCGACAAAAATGTAATTAAAGTATTGTTTTACCTCTCCAAGAGATCACGTTACTCCCTCTGACAATGCCTGCATCTGTTTGTTTCTCCCAACAGATATAGCCATCTTTAGTCCCCTTTCACATGGGCATTCCGATAAGGTCTGCCTGTCAGTTTGTCAGGTGGAGCGGATCGGAAGCCCAATGTTAGTATATGGGCAGCCAGATCTAAACAGATGGGCATGCGTTTACATCCGGTTTCCCCCAGCGCCGACCAGGTCTGGAAAAACAAACATATCAGAGTTCCGTTTGGCTGGTACTGATCCTGCCAGATCAGAGAGAGGTAACTAGATGTAAATGGACACCCATCCATTTAGATCCAGCTGCCCATACACTAACATGGGTATGTTTACATCTGAATTCCCATAGCCCAAAATGGGTCTGGTAATTTCATTTTTTTTCCTCCATCATAAAATGAAGGAGAAAACTGGACAGACATGGATGTCACAATGGTGACATCCGTTCAAATCAGTAGTGGATCCGTGCACGGATCCCTTCCTGATCAGAACTGAAGGCACCGGTGTTAAAGGGGTCTAATTCAGACATCATCCCGGGTCTGCATCTACTTCCTAACATGTTGGCTCAGAGCAGAGATGACACAATTATATAAATTCTGGTGTCTTTGAAGTTCCTGGCTGTGTTCACAAATGTCTGTCCCCCTTCTGAAGTTTGTTTTATTATTATTTTGAAAAATGCTGCTGTTTAGAAAACAGCACAATCTACAACACTCATTAAAATGAGACAAGCTGCAAGTATAGTTGTTAATAGTAATATCCGGCTGTGAATGAAGGACATAGATAGGACTAGTGTGTAGGTACAGTTTTGTTGTAAGTAGTAGTGGGGTTAGCATTTCTTCTGATGGTGCAGTAGTTGTCCTCATTCACAATGTTAACCTACAGTGGGCCACATGATCCTGTTATACAGCTCTTCATTTATAGAACACCTAAAAAAATTGATTAAGGTATACGTTATTAAACTATGTCCAGCCAAAACTTTTTCGTATTTAGATAGAAGTATCTGAGGCCCGGTTGTCGGTTTTACTGCTACAGGGAGCTCTGTTAGAGAGACTGTGAAGAGAAAATATTCAACAGCAACACAAACAGTGACACAAATGCTTTTTTGCTATCTGTGTCCTGGTTGCAAATTTTTGCTGACTTCTTGTCTTGTGTTGTTTTGCAAAATTAAGTTAGGGGAACTCTGGATAGCCGAACATACAAGAGGTGCTAACCCTTCCCTGTTCCATCCAAAACAAACAAAAAAGGTTTGACTGGCATTACACTTCAAGCTCAATGCAGAAACTGGGTGCATTGGTATTACTATTGAGTTGTTACTGCAAAATGACAAGTGGTAAACCCATAGCATTCGGTAAATATTAATGTATAGTTTAAACGGTAATCACTGATAGTGTGATAGCCCACAGAAGCTAGCAACAGTTCCCTACCACTGGTCACTAAGAACTGCATGGGTAGTTTTGCTGCACACTGGGTAAACAATATAGTATTTAAACTAATGTATAGTAAATAACAGAAACTGTGAAGGTAAGGTGGGCACAAAAAGACATGTTGTAGTCATGGTATGGGGACCACAATATTCCTGAGACAGACCTGTGTAATATATATTACATCTAGTATTTTATAAGCATATTCCCTCTCTTTACAGAATGTACCCTGGATAAGCCTTGCTCCTTGCGTGCAGGGAAATATTTTCATTATAACATACTCCTTTTAAAAGAAAGTTGGAGACAGTGAATGGTTGTCACACATCACATTTAAACTGCACCCAGTAGGCTTTCTGCTTTCCACAATTCAACTTGTGAATTGAAGCCTTTGTTCAACAGACAGTGGGCTAAATCTCTGTATCTCAATCATTCCATTAGCTGAGAGAGTGTGGGATCAGATCTGCAGTGTAAAGCCATTTCCAGCATTCTAAGGAAAAAGTTAGACTAATATAATGTACACATGATGGCTCTACACAATTTACAGATTCATCTCTGGCATCTTGCATTACTCATCTGACAGACTGGCAAGTGTTTCATATTCTTTTCATATGACTTTATTACCAAAATCGCTTCTACTTTATTTCTACCAGAGAGGCAAAACAAGGCAAATATATTTCACTGCTGTAACCTCCAGCGATGGTTTATTGCAATCCACTGTGATGATTATCTGTCTTTCTGCATTGTTTACTGGAAAATGAACAAAGTCTAAATTTTAGATTTGATTCCTGATGCGTAATATTTCTATGTAGAGTCCTTGAATCACACTAGTAGGTTACAGCCTACATTTGTGTAACTCTAATCCTGATGTTAGGACAGTCTCTGTTATACCTATGTATTTGTGGTACAGATTGTCAGGGTTAATGACGCCTGTGTATTTCTCTTTTCTCAGTAACGGTACAACCAACAAGATGAATGGAGCTTTGGATCACTCAGACCAGCCAGACCCAGATGCCATTAAGATGTTTGTTGGGCAGATCCCACGTTCATGGTCAGAAAAAGAACTCAAAGACCTTTTTGAGCCTTACGGAGCCGTCTATCAGATCAATGTCCTGCGAGACAGAAGTCAAAATCCACCCCAAAGCAAAGGTAGTGATTTATGATGATCTTCACTTTCCAAACACAGTCAGTGTGCTTTGCCAGCTTTGAAATTGTTGATGTAGCCAAAGAAAGGTTACAGTTTCCTTAGCCTAAGACAGGCACATATACTGCAGGACTGACTTTTCAGTTTTGGTTCAGCTACAGTTCTCAGCATGCTCTGTCAGTTAAAAGACGCTTCAAGTGGGATTTAATAAAAATGCATTGGAATTGTGGAAGAAAGCCACACTTCAATAAACATAGTTTTTAGTAAATGCTTAATAAATTTGCACTATATGGCAGAGTTTGGAATAAGAATTGTAGAGTAACTGAAGAGTGGGAGAACCTGCTTGATTTAACTAAGACGGTTAACATATGATAAACTCACACTAAAACCTGAAGTCCACGCAGGTTTAAGACACAAATTAATGCAGTTTTGTATTTATTAATCATAAAATGTATTTATATAGCACCAACAGTTTTTACACAGCGCTTTACAGAGTTGCACATTCCCATCAGTCCCTGTCCTCAAGGAGCTTACACTCTAAGGTACCTATCTCACATGCATACATACAAGGGCCAATTTTAGACAGGAGCCAATTAACCTACCAGCATGTATTTGGAGGAAATGCACTCAAGCACAGGGAGCATGCAAACTCATTGTAGATAGTGACCTGGCTGGGATTTAAACCAGGGACCCCCAGTGCTACAAGGCAGAAGTGCTAACCCCTACGCCACTGTGCTGCTCAATGTATTCTTTAAAAATGCAAGTAGCATCATCGTGCAATTTTCTGTACAGCAGAGCTGAAGGAGAAACAGCACACGGATCCAAATAGTTGTGCTGCAGTAATCACATTTTAATAAGGAGTATGTTGATAGGAGGAGAAAGAAGATATATGAGTTTGCTGCTTTTCTTTGCATTGTCCAGTCACAGGCCCGGTGAGGGACAAGACATGTAAGTGTTCCTTTCTGCAGCAGAAATAAAGTCAGGTCTTCTTTGGTGCTAGACAGGACTGTGCTGTGTGATAGAACTGTGCAAATTCTGGGACTGGATGGACAGAAATAACAATTCTTTGGCAGGTGAAATAGCTTCCATTTATGTATTTCCTTTTTTTATATTTAGCTGTTTGCCAGGAGTTAAATTTTGCAACATTTGCCAATGAGTAAAGATTAGCATATTTTATTGTTAGAAGTTGTTAAAGGTTGGAAAATATCTTGAACCATATCTTGAACCAGGTTAGACACTTTTCGTGCATGACTGCGCATGATTTACCTAGAATGACCTATTCCTACATGCCATGTTTTGTGTCTCTAGAGTTTACTGGTTTGCTTTAAAATATATCCTAGTGTTATTTTTTTAAAGTGTCACTAAACCCAAGTTTTGATTTTGTTTCATTACATGTAAGCGTATGCTCTCTGCATTGCTGAATAATCTTTCCCTTATCCTTGTTATCAGTGTTAATAAATAACTGGCTGATCCTGCCTTGCTTCTGGACAACAGTATAGCGGCCAATCCTCTGTTTCCTCTGTTGCCACTCTATGAGAAAGATAACTGTTTCACGTATGCTTTATACTTTACATTTTTCTTATAATTTTTTGCCATGTTTCAGGATTATTTACCAGAAGAATAGGTTAAAAGAAAAACATATAGGGGTCTATTCACTAAGCTGCCGTAGGCAGCCGAGGGAATGACCGACCTAAAGCGAAGTGAGCCGAACGCTGTTCGGCTATTCACTTCAGGCTTGTGCGGCTGATTTCAGCCGTATATCGGCTGAAATCAGCCATACTTCGCGTGGCTTCGGGTCGGCCGAACAGAAGGAGTTCGACTCAGCTGATCCAACATGTGGATCGGCGAAGCCGAACCTCCGGCAGGCTACTCGCTGCTGTTCAGTCTATTCTTATAGATGCCGAACAGCAGTGAGTGAATAGCGGCATTCGGCTCGGCTGTTCTGCTTGGTCTCTCTGTGGGACTGAGCAGAACAGAAAAATAGTTAAAAAAGTAGAAAAATAAAAATAGAAAATGATTGTGCGGAGCTAGCAATGCCCAACAGTTTTCTATTGGCCGGCGGTTCTGCTGCCGTCAAAAAAAAAGGAAAAAAATGCATTTTTGGCCATAGGAATGCATTGCTAGATTCCTATTGGCTATTTCAATTTGCAATAGCCAATAGCAAACAGATAGGCATGCTCAACTAAACCTTCTTCAATTAATTCAACATGCCTCTTTGAGCCTAATATTCAATAAGCTTGCTGCACACTTTTCAAGTGCATGATTTTGTAGTCACTTGGGATTATTTACTAATCAAGTACAAATGTGCAAAACCTATACTGCCTAACCAGATATCTGCTTCTACTGTCTACTCGCTAGATCAAACAAATAAAATAGTAGAAATAGTAGATTTACATATAATGTTTTCTACTTTTATATGACTATAATGATTATAGTATTTTGGGAGGTAATAGTTAAAGTGACATTAAACCCTCAGATTTTTTAACATAAACCAATACTGTAATGTGTGCCTTACTGTAATCCATGGTTGTTTCCCTTCTCTTTGCTGCTCTTCCTTTTAAATCTGTATCTCTTGTCATGCTTGGGGAGAACTTCCCTGTGCAGCTGAGTGCCTCTTCCTGTAGTTCTGGCTCACGTTGTGAACCTTCACACAGACACCATGTATTCATTTCAGAGACAAGGCAGTCTGCTGCAAAACAGAAGTTCTGCCCAGCATGAGAAGAGAGAAGGATTTAAAAGGAAGAGCAGCAAAGAGAAGGTAAACAACCATGGATTACAGTAAGGCACACGTTACAGTATTGTTTTATGTTAAAAAATCTGAGGGTTTAATGTCACTTCAAGACAGCTATTATTTCCTTAAGAAGTATAAAATTATAAAGTCTGCGCTTATGGAACTACAATAGAATCGAAAGCTGCTGCGCTATGGGCCCTAAGGTCAGGAATGGTTATAGTGCAGATGGTTATACTCAGGGCTTGAAAAATCAAAAGTCTGTGACGAGAGGACAGTGGAGCCCGACGAGCAGCTTCCCGGCCGGCCGGGAGCTTAACACAGTCAAGCGATCGAGCGTCTCTAGAGACGCTCGATCGCTTGTATTAGCAGCTGTCACTGCCGTTGCCGGTCCCGAGATCCGCTGTGCCTGATGCGGCCAGGACCGGCACGGCTCTGTGACAGGAGATCAAAGGGAGTTCAGTATACGAACTCTCTTTGATCTCCTCTCAGTTCCTGAATGCAGGAAGTGATGTACATTACATCACTTCCTGCATTCAGTGTCACTCTCCAGCTAGAGAAACTGATAAAGCTGATCTCTGCTTCATCAGCTTCTCTGGGGGTCCCTAGGTGACATTAGGGGTCTTTAAGACCCCTGATGTCTCCATAAAGAGGACCTGTCATGTAAATTGGCTATCCCATAGGGGGCTTCTTAGCCCCCCATGTAATAGCACTAAAGTTGTGTGTAAAAAAAAAAGTAATACAAAAATTAAAGAATCATAAAAAAAAATAAAGAAGCATAAAAAAATGTAAAAAGAAAATTTTTTTTGAAGTCCCCGCCCCCCACATACACGCGCAGATATGCGTCGGCTGCGCCTATGTACGAAAACGGCGATTGCGCCTATTGTGCCGCACATGTTACATATCGCCGCAAACGTCGGAGTGAGAGCAATAATTTTAGAGCCATTAATCACTGATAACACTAAACTGATGAGCAGTAAAAGCGTTTTAATCATTGCCTATTAGCTTTTTTGCGATTTTGCGGGAGCACGCAATTTTAATGCTTGACATGCAGAAAAGGGAAAGACGTTTTCTTACAACCAAAGAACTGTACCTGCTTGCAATTGTATTTTAGGTCCTCTCTAAGGCAGTCCTTGATCAGAATTTCAACTTCAGTGGGAATGACTCAAATAAGTAAAAGCTTGTAATAATGAAGAAACAGTGTAAGGCTGGGTACACACCTTACAACCATTGCAATACTTTTGTCTTGCGATGGTTGTAAGGTAATTAAAAAAACTACGATCTGCCTATCTTGGACAGGCAGATATCGAACTTGCGATGATCGCAAGCCCGCTCCGCCGAGGGGCGGGCTTCCGATGACCACAATGCTAAACGTGCAGTGTGCGCTTGCACACAAAGGCCCGTCTGACTTTTATCTTACGAACATGCTACACACCCGCCGAAAATCATACGATTCTCGGCGGGTTTTCGAACATGTTCGTAAGATAAAAGTCGTGCGACCTTACAGTTGTAGAGGTCGCACGGCTTCCACACAACATACGATAATCGTACGATCACGGGATTACCCGTGATTATTGTACGATTATCGCAAGGTGTGTGGGCACCTTTAGAATGACATTTCCACATGAATGTGATGAATAATTTTAACCACAGCCTGGCCCATTAGACTTTATGCAAATATCAGCTAATGGAGTTCAGTTGAGGTCTTAGTTGATATAGTAAATTTACATATGTATGGTTTAAGAATACAGCACAGCTGCAATGGGATGTTGTAAGCCATGTGCTATATGTGAGTAAGTCAATGGAGAGAAGTATGTATGTTGTGCTGAATAGTAAAATTAATACATGCCAAAATTCGGTGAATGACTGCTATGAACATAGTTAGAATAAAGGTGAAGAGATCCTGCAGTTATTCAGAGCCCAGTGGAATTGGATTTAGTTCTAAGAGGGCTTACGTGGAAAGATATCTTGTCTCCTTACTACAGTACCTGCATGCTCTTTCTCATGGATGATGGCCCTTCTTCATCCTGTTAGTTTATCCTGGAGATTAGGAGAGCTGCATGCTTTAGATATTGACATCTCCCATTTCACTTTCATGAGACTTACAAGGTCTGTTATCATTCTTAGATCAGGCTTAACCTTGTTATTTCTCATTTCCATTTTAACCTAAGGAGCAGGAAGGAGCGAAATGGATGTGTCCTATAATTTCACGTGTCTAAGATAAAATGGGAGATGGCTTGACCCTATTCACTTGTTCAATCGCCGGATTTGGCTCAT